TTTACCCTTTATTTCTTTGCTAGATTGTAAGTATGTTACTGTTGTTTTCAACAAAAACTAGTACTCTGAGTGAGAAAAATTGTATCTAAACATTTGAACAAGGAAAGTTCGTTTAACTTTTTATGTAGGATGGCAAGGAGCTTGCAAGTGGGAAGAAGAAGACCATTGAAATAGGACCATGGGGAGGAAATGGTGGAGCTGATTGGGACGATGGGATCTACAATGGGGTGAGAGAGATCACGCTTGTTTACGGTCATTGCATCGACTCCATTACTGTGGTGTATGATAGAAACGGTAAGCCTGTCAAAGCAGAAACGCATGGTGGTCGCGGAGGTGATCATACTGCTGAGGTACGCTTCGATCCTCGTACTCTTTCTTTTAATCGACAACTTTCGTCCATGAGATTTGAACTCCGGATATCCTCTAACAAAGTGGAGACTGATGCCAATAGAGCAAATGGTCATAGGCTTCAAAGCTCGTACTTCAAAATTAGATAAAGATTGATAGAAAGTGTATCAAATTTGATGATAATTTATTTCATAGAGGCGAGATATCGAGAAAAAAAGATTTTGATTTTGGCCTGACTTTTTTCGTGCAGATAAAGCTTCAGTACCCAGATGAGTTCCTAGTCGGTGTAAGTGGACACTATTGTCCGATGGTGTATGGCGGCGGCCCGATAATCCGGTCACTCAAAGTTCAGAGCAATAGAAGAACATTTGGACCTTATGGAATTGAGGAAGGCACACCCTTTACTTTCACAGTGGATGGAGGCAAAATTGTTGGATTAAAGGGAAGAAATGGATGGTACCTAGATGCCATTGGGTTTCATGTATCCCCTCCCCCAACCAAAAAATTCTTTCAGAGTATTCAGAAGAGTTTTAGAAGGCTTGGGAGCTCGGTTTCAAAACCTTAGACTGCTCAAAGTTGAAAGCATAGACTTAGAGCTCATGGGAGCCCCCATACGAGTTCTTAAAATCACCAAAAGCTCAAAAATATTGCACGTATAATAAGCTACCCTTTCAGCTTGTGATTATTTCTTTCTTTTGGAGGACTCTAAAGCCATTCAAATAATGTTTAGTGTATTCTGTACTATCAATGAAATATTATGTTTCACTAGTGGGTGGCGAAACATGCTTCGATTGTTCTTATCAATTGCTTTGGGTCGATAATCAGACTAAAATAATTGAACAGCAATCTAAAAGGATTCAAGGGAAGGAGCCAAGCATTTTTCTTTCTACCAATAATACAATTTACAAAAGACAAACACAAGAAAGCTCTGTATCTTTTAATTCACTTTATATGCATTCTGAATTCAGTCTGAGAAAACTATTTCCAGACCAGAAATATGCTATATAGCTGATCTAAGAATCACATTGACATCAACTATATAACCCCAGGTTTGAGGGAACTTTACTAGCTCTCATTCACATATCACAAATGTGACCATGACATGGAATATGTGAAGCGGAAAAACCATAAAACTGAATTGCAGTCAAGTACACAAGATGAGAGGATTCAGATCTCAAAACTAATTACTTTTCATTTCAAGCTATTGTGAGAAAACAATGACCGGACAATGAACCAGCACATAGCCATAAGAAACAATTCATTATAAGAGCATGTTGGCATCCTTAGGAAAAATCCCAGAAGAATTCTCACAATTTTGATAACATCAGCCATGCTGCTGTTATAAGAACAAGAAATGAGTCCCATAGCAAATGATCGAATATGAAGCAATTATCATGGACACAGTGTCTCCACTTAACAGCCCACCATACACCAGTTTCATGCATGTACACAAAATAACAAAGGTGCATCAATAAAAGAAATTCCAAGGCATCACCAGCCAAAGACAACAGGCACAAAGGTTCTTTGACCACACTGTATAGTTTCATACCAGATTTTTGTAACCCATATTCACTTACCCTAAACCCACACATTGTCTTAACACTTTTTTTCTACCGGTACATTGCCTTGACACATGACAGGCATGTTGAACCAGTTTTATGCATGCCATAGAATGAGAAAATAATTGCAAGGCATCAACATGAATATAAAACAGGTAGAAAGTTCTCTGGTCAGATTCTTACAAGCCACCCTCAAGCAATTAAAAGGTCATGGTCATATGCAAAAGCCCTAAGCACAAAACAAAGTAACAAGTCATCAAATCATGTCTTTACTCAAAAATCTAAGGTTTACATTAAAGGATAAAAGCCAATTCAGTCAATTAACACAATATACTTCGCAGTGTACCCTAAAAGAACTGAAGACATTGGAACCAATGTACAACAATCAAATCTCAAGCAGAAAAAGGAAGTAACATCAAATACTCGCCATCCATACCTGTATCCCAATCTGCCAATCCACTCAACCTAGACAAATTACAAACTTTAACCCAATAAAACACACACACACACACACACAGACAAATTCACATATCTATTGCACGTACATAAAAGAAAAGATACAAACACACACACACACACACACACAGAGAGACAAATTCACATATCTATTGCACGTACATAAAAGAAAAGATACAAACACACACACACACACACACACAGAGAGACAAATTCACATATCTATTGCACGTACATAAAAGAAAAGATACAAACACACACACACACACACACACAGAGAGACAAATTCACATATCTATTGCACGTACATAAAAGAAAAGATACAAACACACACACACACACACACACAGACAAATTCACATATCTATTGCACGTACATAAAAGAAAAGATGCAAACAGTCTGACTAGAATGTAACAAAACTCACATAACAACATATCGCAGCGAATTCAAATTCGTCAAATATACACAAATATCAATTTTCAAATTGCTTCAACAAGAGTCATAACTCTTAATTAGCAATCGGTACAAACACATAAGCATATCATATATATATATTGAATTCAAAACCCAAGCTGATCGCCTTCCCTATTTTAACCTCTAGCCTTGAGCTCCGCAAGCCTCCTGGAGAGGTCGTCCTCGTCGACCTTCTCGGTTTCCTTGGCCGGCACAGCATGGGCAGCTGGCTGAGGTAGGCCCACCGAAACCTCAAGCCCATAGTCATCGGCGACCTGTTGCATCAAGCTATTGACCTCACCCTCGGGAGTCGAAAGCGAGGTGGAGCCAGCCATGGCGGTCTCCATGAACTCGGCCTGGACCTCCATGTTCACGAACTGCTTCTCGAACGAGTCCATGGTCTCCGACATCTTCTGGAGGTTTCCGGTGGCCAGCGACGATTCGAGTGATTTGACAATATTTCCCATGGACTTATTGATGGTGAACATCTTGGCCTGGGTGTCGAGCCGAGCCACCACAGCGTCGAGCCGGGAAGCGAGCCGGAGATAGTTCATTTGCTCTGTGCGCTTTCGGATCGCGTTCTCGGCGTAGATCCGAGCGCCGTCGACGTTGCCTTTTTCCATGGCCTTCTTGATCTTCAGCTTCTCGGCTTTCTCCTCCTTCTCGCACTTTCTGGATTGGCGCTGAAGCGACTTGGACGTGAATTTCAGCTCCATGATCTGGTTCATCAGCTTCTCGGTGTTTCCCATGGTGGATTTTGGGGATTTGATTTTCTAGGGTTTTGGTTTTAAATCGGAGAAGGGTTCCGTATTTGTGTGTTTTGGACTAGCGATTTACGCGTTCCGCGTCTGTCTCAGAGGGAAGTCAACAAGGCGAAGGTTCCTACTTTTCCTTTGTTGGGCCGCTTTTTTGTGAAGTATCGGATTGTTTTGTTTTAGACCGGACATAAAGAATATGTGACTTGGGCTTACTACTTGCTGTTAAAAACCTAATATGTTTTATTTTTATTTTTTGAGTATAAACGATAGTCTAATTTATAGAGGAGGGGGATTTCTCTCACACACATAACGATGATGTCGTGGGGATTCGAACATGAGACCTTTAGTCTGCAAGTCAATGTCATTTTTCAATGGGCTAGACCCCATTGCCAAAAACCTTGAAAATTATAATTATAAATTTTTTTATCACAAAACGTCACTGAGTTTTGTGAAATTAGTTTTTACACCATATTTGTGAAGTAATGGCCACATATGTGTGTCACATTAGCACACTAATAGAATTTTTAACGGGATTAGACGATATAGACAACATTGATGTGTGTAGAAAAAGGTGGACGACCAAATTGAATGCTAAGAAAAAAAAACCTAAACTTAATAATTTCGCAAGCTTTTGATGTTTTGTGATAAAAGCTCAAAAAACTTATTAGATAAAAATTGATATACATAACCAAACTTTTATTTATGTTTTAAAATTAAAAAAAATGGTAGGGTAGTTTTTCACACCGCTAAACCCAAAAGGAGAACACTTATTTGCAACATCCCCTCCTTCATAAGGAAGAGGGAACAAGGGGAAGTTACCCAAAACTGGTTTCCCCTTTCTTCTTTAACTATTGCAAACAAGTACAAAGAGATCTGCCCATGGAAAAATTAAGACAATCGTTGAAGAGTTCTTGAGTCCTTGACAGACATATCCCCTCACCTATAAGGTTAGTTAGTTTTGCAAATTATTACTGTCCTTTATTTTTTAATCGATCTAATTCTTGGGTTTGCACGTATTCAATTACATAGTTAATTTCGTAAGTGTTAGTAAACACAAGAAAAATAAAAGTAAAAACGGAAAATTGTGAATATGAATAATTTCAATAATGTTCCCGATCCATTCCATTCATGCAAGTAAACATGTCATGTAAAAGAGTAATACTCATAGATAACATCAGTGTCGCTGTCCCTTTCACCATAGATTTTAGTGTTTGTTCTTTCTGATTCTTGGTTTTGTTCCTCGAAGAGTTGGGAACAATGAGACTGATAAAAGAAGAAATGAAAAGATGAACAATAATAAGGCCATGAAGTTTGAGAGCATCGAATAATAAATGTATGAATATTTGCTACTGGACAAGAAAATAATAATAACATAACATTCGTATACCATGTCAAAAACTGCATTAGTTTACCTTTTTAATTGTGTGACATTCAAAATTTCAAAATTTCAAAATCTTCCAAAAATATGTAGACAAATTGGACAGACGGTACCCAAGGTAACATGAGAAATCGTACCGCTTCTCTTTTCCATTCTTCTGCAAACCGCAAAACATAAGGAACCGCCAAATATCAGAGCCCACGTGTCTTCCTCCTTCGATACCATCCTATGTGTCTCTCCCTCGCAACGGCCCGCCCCTAATAGCCGACTGCTCAGCCACCTGTTCTCTCTCTCATCTCTCTCTCTCTCTCTCTCTCTTCCTTCTGCTCTTATCATCCAAGAACCCACATTTCCAATTCCATTGGGATACATTTATCCGTACGTTTGATAAACCCAGCGTTTCGTTTGATCTGCACAGAGAGCAACATTGGTTCACAATTTATAGACCCATTTAGCAATTTGAGCCGTTTCAACAGAAAAATATTGTCTTTGGTGTTTGCAAGCTTCTGTTGTTCCAAAATACAATTGCCCACTTCACTGTTTGAGCCAGTTTCTGTGAAAGTTTACCTCTTTGGTGGGTTTGGGCATCATTTTGATCTTAAAGACAGAGATCCCTTGGCTGTTTTCAGGTGTTAAAGTTTTTTGGTGGGCAGGAAATGAATGTGCTTGAGGAGGAACAAACTGCTTTTGAGATTGGGGTTGTGGTTCCGAAGAGAGATCTGAAGGAAGAAGATAAAGATTCTGACTGTGTGGAGGTGTTGGTAGATGAGTTTAGAAATTTGGGTTTGGTAGTTGAGAGAGTGCATGGCGTTGTTGATGAGTTTATCAAGGTTTGTCTTTCTACTTTTGCTCTTATTTTCCTGCCGTGATTTTTCGTTTGGTTTTTCAGTAATTGATTTATATTACCATACATTGTTTCATGCAATTGGCTCATGAAAATAGATTCTGTGAATAATTTCTGATACGATCTCTCTCTGTATTTATAAATCTTGCTTACTGGGAAATTTTTTTAATTAATCCAAGTGAATCTTTGTATTTTGTACCGATGCATGTAGACAAAAGTCATAATTGAGGTCTTTTTGCTAATGGCAAAAAAGAAATGTTTCCTTTTGTTAAAATTTGTTGTTTCTATTTTTTATTATAAATTGCAAATGAGCACTATACTTGGCAATTTATGATAACCCAGCATTATTCATGTCGTTTTTTGTTTATGCTGAATGAAAATGGTACATACAATTCGGCAATGTTTTGTCTATATGATTTATTGAATTTGGTTGCTGGACCTTAGATTTCTATCTTTCAGTTGGCAGCACCTTTGGAAACACTGGGGAGGGCTGCAGCTGAATTGCATATTAAAAAACGAACTCCTATTGGTAATGATCTTGCAGTTCTATTCCAGTTGGCTTTCAAATTTTATTATTTTTCATTTGAGGTTGTTCTGTATTTTAGATGCTAGTATCTATTAATTTCCACTTCGGTAATACTTAAAAACTAATATGCTGCACTTGGTTTCAGGGATGGATTTAGAATTTGAATGGGAAGAGGTTGATGCTTTTGAGAGACAGCCTGATGGTTCTTTGTTCAGTTGGTGTGAGCGTTTTCGCTGCTATAGGCACATAATATATGGAATTGTAAGTCATTTAACATGTTAGGATCTTATGATGTTCCAATGCCATTTTTTCTTTCCGATGTTTTGGTATACTACTTCTAATAACAGAATGCTTTTGACTTTTATTTTTTTAATTGTAAATTTATATCGTATTAAGGTTATATGTCCATTCAATTTGATTTTACATTACAATTTCATGTTTATCTCCATCCTTTTTTTGTCACTCTTTGGTAGAATACATCCGACCATTTGACCTCTAGTGTTTTGTTTTTCTAAAGTTTGTGCCAGTTGATGTTCAAACAACTGAAACCCTTGGAACATTTTCCCTTATAATTATATTTCTGTGTGCAAATATTCATCCATAAGTTTGTGCCGTTGACAAAGATAGAACTGAAATTTTACAGATTAACAAGAGTCAGTCAAGTGTAACATTAAGATTGGACAGCAAAGAATTCAAATGGGAAGTCGGGGAGTATTTACTTCAGAAATTGGAGTCAGAGAGGATAGTCAAAGAAGTGTTTCCTTTGCATGGTATGTTTACAAATTCACAAAATGTGTGCATCTCTGTTAAACTCTAAATTAAGATGATTTTTGACTGATAGATGAAATAAAAAGGAAGAAGCTCCTTCAGACGTGGGCACTACACTGGTGGGACTTCACAAACCAGCCAATAGATGAGATTTATTCCTATTTTGGAACAAAAGTGAGTTAGTAGCACTAGCAAATTATATTTCTCTCTATTTCCTAACATTAAGCAAGAATTTAATGTCTTTGTAGATTGCCATCTATTTTGCTTTCCTTGGAATGTACACTCGGTGGTTGCTCTTTCCGGCTGCATTTGGGCTTATTTTGCACATGTTTGATTTTGGGTGGGTCATCTTCCTTATTTCTTAATTTCCTTGTTGGCTGTCAACTTATTTTATTTGTGCTGCTTATTGAAACTGACGTATGTTTGCTTAATGTTTTCCTTAGGTCATTGCAATTACTGGTGCTCCCCATTTTCTTCATAAGCATAATATTGTGGGCTATAATGTTTTCCCAGTTCTGGAAACGTAAAAACAATGCCCTTTTAGCCAGGTAACCTTGTTTACAATGAAATTGTCTTGTGGTTATCAGATCCTGCTTATTCATTTTCAGTTATATTTTTACCTTTTCTAACATACTTTACCTCTTTCTCTTTCTTGGTTGTGTGTTTAGATGGAAGATTCGTTACCCAATTAGAGCTGACCTGGGATATAGACAGGGCATGGAGTGGAATTCCTCACAGTCTATTGAAATCGCAAAAAAATGGGGGACTGACAAAACTAAAGAGAGAGAAATGTTCCAAAGAATTGAGTGGTTTGGACGACTCATGAGATTCCGAAATGATGCTATCATTATCTTCAGTATTATATGCCTCCAGTTACCGTTCGAACTAGCTTATGCTCATATTTACGAGGTTATTGGGTCTGATATTATGAAGTAAGACGCTGAGTCCTCTTGCATTCATGTGAATGCATACACTTGCACGTTCATATAATTCTATTTTCATCAATGAAAAATCATTTTTAACATTCCAGAGTTTGTGCTCATATTTTTCTTTTTTATGCATGTTAACTCGGTGCATCAGTTGTGTGTGAGTGCTATTGACAATTGGATGAGAACTATTGCTGAGATTGACTCTGTTCAGGTTGCACACTAGACATAAGATGGAGGAAAATTTTGGGTTTATTGGGTTTTGATGTAATGGGTCTTTAGAGTTTGTATCTGCTGCTGCACTTGTCCTCGTGCTTAGAAACTTTGGACAAGGAGAGGGAAAGTCGAATTAGAAATATTAAGTCAAACAGAAACCCAATTTAAGGGCACAACCAATTCTGATCTGTAACGTTTGTTTAGACACAGCATTCATTCTTTTTCCTATGTATTAATTCTTTGGAATTATAGCGTGAAAATGACACTTATCCTTTCTTTCTTTTTTCAGGATTGGGTTGACTACCATTTATCTTTTTGCCATTCAGTTCTTTACACAGATTGGGGGCAAGATCTCCGTCAAGCTCATTAAGTATGAAAATAATGAAAACACAGAAAAAAAAGCTGACAGCTTGGTCTACAAGGTGTGTTAAGTGGAGATCGATCCCTAGCGTCTTTTTTAATCTTTTTTGGAGGAGTTTTCTACACTTCAAAGTTCAAGGACTTATTTCGTGTTTTAATTTATTTTGCAGGTGTTTGGTCTTTATTTCATGCAGTCGTATATAGGGGTTTTCTACCATGCCCTTTTGCACCGCAACTTTTCAACACTCCGCAAAGTCTTGATTCAACGCCTCCTTGTGTCTCAGGTAAATTGAGTTCTATTTTATTCACTGTTTTGCTTGTTTGTACCTCTCTTCTCATGCTCATGAATTGGTCTATGCTTTCCAGGTGTTGGAAAACTTGTTGGAAAATACTTTGCCATATCTCAAGTACAGTTATAAGAAATATAGAGTTCGGTAAGCCTATACTATGTTTTATCTTCTGGACTCTTATGTTTTGGGGTGATTTTAAGTTTATCTGAACATGACCTTATCTGCCATTCTGATTTCAAGAAGCAAGAAAAAACGTGAAAAAGGTTCATCAACTGGGAAGATCCAGTTTGCTTCTAGGGTAGAAAAAGAGTACCTGAAGCCTTCTTATTCCGCAAGCATTGGCATGGAACTTGAAGATGGGTTGTTTGATGGTAATATGTCAATTATGTCCTGTGTTTATAAAATTTGCATTTTCCTCCTTAGTTTCAAGTAATCATGAGAATTCTTGTATGTTTCTTTATTCTCTGCTGATTGGCACTGTGGTTTGACCTGCAGACTTTCTGGAGGTTGCATTGCAGTTTGGAATGATAATGATGTTTGCTTGTGCATTCCCCCTTGCTTTCGCTTTTGCAACTTTGGTAAATTATGCTTTATGCTTGTTTATGTTTTGAAGTTCTTTATGCTTTGTATTATTTTGTATTCTAATGTTCGAGTTCCACTTTTCACAGAACAACATCACCGAAATTAGGGCAGATGCATTGAAGCTTCTTGCCATGTTGAGAAGACCGACTCCTCGTTTTTCCACAACAATTGGAGCTTGGCTGAACATATTTCAGGTACTTATGGTTTATGGTTATGTATTGTGAAGAAAATATAGAATTCATATAGCTCAACCTTAAATTCTGGAAAGTTTAGAATTGATTGATTAGGTAAAGAGACAAATTTGTTGGGAGCTGTATTAGATTTGCTTTCTTCTCTGCAGTAACTATAAAACAAGGGAGATAAGTGGAGGGTTGACTATGTGTTCCATTTACTCTCTTATCGTCATCTTCCTAATGTCAGGTTGTCTGCAATTTGTAGTTTCTCGTCGTTATGTCTATATGCACCAACTGTGCGCTTCTAGTATGGTTATATGATGAAGAGGGCAAATGGAAGATAGAGCCTGGCCTGGCTGCAATTCTGGTTATGGAACATGTCCTCTTGTTGATTAAGTTTGGATTCTCCCGCTTTGTTCCCGAGGTGATTTAAATCCCATCCTTGTGAACGCTTACTCCAAATTTACATAATCTCTTGTTATTATAACATGTAATGGTTAAAAGGAAGATGCTGATCGTTATATTATCATAAAACTTTCTTGCAGGAACCCGCTTGGGTGAAGGCGGACCGTGTGAAAGATGCAGCAAAGGCTGAGAACATGTGCTCTAAACAGCTTTTGAGGAGCATTTCTGGTGAGAGGGCGACATTTGGTGAACTTAAAAAGTCACAATAAGGTCAGGGAGTTGAGGTTTTATCGTTGCCATCTTCTCATAAGTTAGAAACTAAGCCACAAATAGGCTTTCTAGAGTTGAGCTGCAGTAGCTCAAAAATTTTGGTTTCGTTTTTGTTTGTTCTTTTGGTGTGTTGTAATGGTTTTGTAAGTAGATGTATAGTACTGGCCATAATTTCTTTTTCCTTGATGGTTTAAACTCCAATTTCAACTAAATATAACAGAAATGTGCAAAAAAATTGTTTTTGCCTTTTGTGAGTATTAACAAAATAGCATGCAATTTGGATACCTGGCTTGGCACAAGCCTTATTTTGGATGGAAAAATCAACTATTTACATCATTGGGCACATTTACATACAAGGATCGATCAATCAATCAATCAATCAATCATTTCTTAATCTCCTATGTACGTTTATCAGCATGGAAAATTGAGTTACAATTCAAGTAACTCCATCATTTTGATCTTCACTATGTTCAAAGCACAACTACTTCCTTTAGGCACTTACAGTTAGGCCTGTGATCAGTCAGCCACGAGTGCCTCCGAAGCGGCCGCTGACTTGGCGGGCATAAGCAACAACAGCTTTAGCCCATCTCCTGATCCCAGATTTCAACTTCTCCGAATCCATGTCATTGAGTGATTTTCCTTGTTCTGTTGAAATCTCCATGAAAGAAAAACATCGATCAAACCGACCGCGCTTGGCTGTAACTACATCGCCGCTGTTCCCACCGTTGTTTAGAGAATGACTCTTCTTAGTCTTCTTCGCAGATGCACCACCCTTCCCAGCTCCGCCGTTGTTGAGAGAGAGACTCTTCTTGACAGACATGGCTTCTGGGTTCTGTTGGCTGAGAAATGAGTGGTTGAAAAGTAATGCAGTAGTTGCTAGAAAATCAGCAAGCTGGTCTAATTTATAGGAGATAGAGAATTGTATTAAGGCAAGTAATTAACATTCGTGTTCTAAAATCTAATGCGTATGAAATCCATTGACTAAGACTCTTTCAAAATATTCCATTGATAGCGTCCACCAAAGTTAACCTTTAGTGGTTTTAACATATAAATCTGTTCATCTTTTTAACCATGGGGTGCAGCTGAGATGAGATATTAGCACATGCCTAAAAGATTAATTAGTTAAAAATCTTCCCGGCAAAAAACACTGACCATAAAATTGTAATGTTGACTTTGATTTTTTTTTTTATAATAGAACTGGTCACGGTTCTTTGCACGATTGGATTTGAGGGGTTTCTTGAAATAAAGAACTTCTTCTTGTATATAAAACTTGCTCACCAAGTTTTGTCCATAGTTTAATTGTCTCGCCCAAAAACAACAACAATATATATATATATACTTTCCAAGACCTTAACCTGCTACTGTAGGCATGTGACAGGCTAATGAGTAATATTCCCAATCTTGTGGCAAAAGTCTGTGTGGTTTGCTGATGTGATTGTTATTATTATTTTTAAGTTGGGCTAAGAGCATTTACAATCATGCTTCCTATTTTTTAGTTCAAATTTAGCACAAAATACATAAAAACTATTTTAGGAGCTGTCTATAAAATTTGAACTCCAATTATACTCTCTAGTTTAGGGAGTTGTAAATACTATAATTAACATTAATTAAAAGTTTAAAGTATGCATAAAATAAAGCAGCATTAAATTATAGAGAGCCACTAGGAATTTTTTTTCTCTCCTCATATTTATGAGCTCCTAGAAATCTTTATATTTTAGGAGTTGGATAGGGAGCATGATTGGAGTTGTATTTTTCCAATTCCTCCCTAAAATTTGTCTAAGGAAGTGGTTTAGGGAGCCCATTTTGAATGGATGCTCTAATATTATTATTAAACAATAAATTATTGGTGGGCTATTGAGTAAGTTCGAAGCAAAATTAGTCCTAAGGTCTTGGAAAGTTTCCCCCATCATTGTTGCAAGGAATATAACTTTGGCCAAAAGTCATTTTTAGTCCCTATAGTTTGACACTTTAACCACTTTTGACCCTATAATTTTATATTTGTAACAATTCAAGGACATATTAAAATTTCCGTCAATTTCTTGAAGGGAGCAACAACATGCCCCTCACATGGAAGGGCAATTGTGTTAGCCTAAAGCCCCATGTAAAATCTTGTCTCTACCTCTTTCCCAGGGCGCGTGAAATTGACCATTTTGAAGCAAATTAGGATTAGGGCTCCTAAAAATATCGGCTGTTGTTTCCGTAAAGAAGCAACAACGATGGTGAAGTAGACATGTGAAATCAATGGAGGCTTCAATAATCCAAGTGAACTTGTAATCTTTAAAGGTACAGTTTTCTATGCGAAATTGTTTTATAACTTTTATTCGACTTTTCAATGCATATAAGTGGGTTCAATGCTTTTGTTTATTCCATTCTTTTGTGGCCTTGTTTTTTTGTTTTTTTTATTCGAAAGGCCTTGTTTTGTTATGTAACTTTGGGTTTGGAAAGTTATTGCTCTGTTGTTTTGTTCTTAATTTGTAAGGAGAGAGAAAGGGATGGAGGAGATAGAGATTGATTAAGTGTTGGGAATTTGGGATAGTGAAGGATGGAGGATTTTTGAGGTTTTGGTTGCCCATTTTTGACCCTGGGAAAGAGGTAGAGACTAACTTTTAGCATGGGGTTTTGGTCTGACAAAATTACCCCTACACGTGAGTAGCACGTGGTTGTTCTGTTAAAAAAATTGATAGAAATTTTATCTTGTCCTTGAATTACTATAAATATGAAACTACATGATCAAAAGTGACAAAATTGAAACTATAAGGTCAAAAGTAATTAAAGTGCCAAACTACAGAGACCAAAAGTGACTTTTGGCTTAAAACTTTCCACAATAATTGAACTCTTATTGTAGGAAAATAAAAGCTCATTTGGATTAAAAACCACACCTTCTTTCTTTTATTGTTTTATTTTTTTATTTATAATCAAACCCAAGTTTTTTTCTATTATTATTTAAAGGAAGAAGAATGTTATCACTTAAGTTAATATACTTAGGGCCCATTTGAGAGTGCTTCTGGAAGAGCTGAAAGCACTTTTTGACAGCCAAAAGCTCTTTTGACCGCATTTGACAAAAAAGTTTAGAAGTGCTTATGGGTCATAGAAACGTTTTCTAAAGAAGCACATGCCTTGTGCTTCTTATTTAGGAAGTACTCCCAAGTGCTTTTGATTTCTTATGAAAATTTCAACATCTTTATAATAAAAGCGCTTTTACTAGAAGCGATTATTGGCAGAAGTGATTCCTAAAGAAGCAGTCACACCACAAAGAAAACAAAGACTAGTCCCTTGTAACTAATTGTAAAACAAAACTAATCCTTACAACGCAACCGTCAACTTTTTTTACCTGAGTTTTGAAAATAACGTGTGTAACTCATTTTACAGATGAGAAAGAACTCACTTAGCTTGAGTCGAATAAAGATTCAAACATATATTTTTATTACAGAACTAATCAAATAAAGAGTCGACAAGTAGATGAATAATTGTTGAGTGAGGTTACTACAGTGGTTGTGTCCCTCCTCCTTCCCCCTGCTTTCTTGGCACATGATTTCTTTTCTCCAAATGTAACCCAAAAAAAAGTAGACAGATAATTGGGCTAAGTTGACGCAAGTGATAAGACCCTCTTCACTTAAAATTCAGGCCTTCCGAAATGGGCTTGTAAACAAACCCATAAAAATAAACCAACCCAGAAAAGAAACCAAAAAAATTGTGTGGGGTCAGGTTCCAAGCTGGCGGCTGAGTAGGAAATAGGAACCTTTCAATGTGACGCAAACTGTCCACCCATATATATTTAAGGCACAACAAAGTCCTCTCCTTCAACTTCTCTCCCTCGTTTAAAGATTCCATTTTTACGTTAATTAGACCCAGTTGAAAATTTCTACGCTTTCTGAAACTTCCTCCTCATCGATCAACCCAGTCATGATCCCTGAATAGTAATTTCTCTCTCGCTCTCTCTCTCTCTCTCTCTCTCATGAACAATTGCATGCATGTCTACATGTTATCACCTTTTTTGTCATAGCTTAGTTTCTGTGTGATTGTTTTATGGCTGTTGATAATGTTAACCCTGTTCAATTTGATTGGATTTGGATTTTGGTCAAACCCAGAAAATTTTGTTTTTGTTTTTGTTTTTATTGAAGGGTTTTTTTATTTTCAACTTTTGGGTATGTGGGATGGCTTTTGATTTGGCCATTTGATTAGAAATTGTTTGTTTAGCACAATTGTTTAGTAGTATCTTAAAAAACTGGAAGAAAATTCTTACGAAAATCAATTTTGTGGATCCTTTTTTTGGGGATCACATTTCATTTCAAGAAGCTACCTGCAATTTTGATTGTAGTGAATACAAAAGCTGTAAAAACAATGTATGAGATCCATGGACTCTGGTAAAGAAGATGAATATGTTAGTCATGCTTTTGAAATGATGATTCTTTCTGCTGTGGCTTGGTGTTTTCTTAGGCACCTATAATCTCCTTGAGTTATTTGGATGATATGCTGCCATGGAATTCATATCTTTGCTGCCTGTATAATTTTGTCTCAATTTGAAAAAAACATTCATTAGATATGCAGGGCATAGTTGTTGACATATTCTGACAGAGTAGGTGTTTTTGCTAATAAGATTTGATGATATGTTAATGTTTTATTTTAGTTATTTCCCCGTAGTTACCGTACCAAAGCATAAAGTCTGAGGTTCTAATTAGTTATTTTCCTCCATTTTGCAGTGACTATCTTTTCAAACTTTTGCTCATTGGAGATTCCGGTGTGGGCAAGTCATGCCTTCTACTGAGATTTGCGGTAAAAGTTCAACAATATTATATATAGGATGATGGTTTTCTTTTTGCCACGCTTCTCTTATACACACATTAAATTCTTATACCTTCTCCCTCAGTCATCTCTTTGTATTCATCCTAAATTTTAATCATAACTATTTTGTAACACGCGATACATAAATGTATGCTTGTGATCTGAGTTGATTGAGCCAAATGCTGATGTCTGATTTTCTTTGATCTTTTATTGACAATTCCACTCTCACCTTGTGTAGGATGATTCTTACATTGACAGCTACATAAGTACCATTGGTGTTGACTTTGTAAGTACAGTGGCATAATATAGCACTTCTGATGTTTGGTTATTTTGATGTCATGGCAGTGATCTCATCTCTTTGTTTCCTCTATTTAGAAAATTCGAACTGTGGAGCAGGATGGGAAAGTTGTCAAACTTCAAATAGTAAGTATATTTTTTATTAAGGCTGGATTGGAATCGAAGTTCCTTAGCTGAAAAAATATGAAATCTCCATTTCTTCTGAATAGTGGGACACTGCTGGTCAAGAACGTTTCAGAACGATTACAAGCAGCTACTACCGTGGTGCCCATGGCATCATCGTAAGTATTAATTCACCTCTTTGTAAGGTAGATTTTTGGTCATGCAAGCTTTTCATAGGATGATCTTCATGAATGTGGTTTTTGAAATTATTTGCTAGCTTGTCTATGACGTGACGGACCAAGAAAGCTTCAACAATGTCAAGACCTGGCTGCAAGAAATTGATAAATTTGCGGTTGGAAATGTGAACAAGCTCTTGGTTGGAAACAAGAGTGACTTAGCTGGCAAGAAAGTGGTCTCTTCTGAAGCTAGCAAGGTATCTTAGCTGCTAATTAATCTTATTTTGTTATCATGTCGTGATGAGTTAAATAAGCATGCACCATTGATCAACTTTACGTATTCAAACTTTATGTTGTTCACATTCTTCTTACCCCAAAACCCCACTGTTTTTAAAAGGCATTTGCAGATGAGCTAGGAATTCCATTCTTGGAAACCAGTGCCAAAAATTCGACTAATGTAGAGCAGGCATTCATGACTATGGTTGCAGAGATAAAGAACAGGTGAGTTCATCTCCATGTTACTTTTTTCATATTTCTGATTGATAAGGGCATTTCAGATCAAGAGTTTAGTAAGATAAATCTGTGATCTGTAGTACTGGAACAACTGCAATGGTAAAACATCAGTATTTTTATACAGCATCGGTAAATATTTTTTTCTTCGGGTTGCAGGATAGCTACCCAACCAATGAGTGCCAACAAACCATCCACTGTGCATATGCGTGGACAGCCAGTCGTCCAAAAGACCACCTGCTGCTCATCTTGATTTATCAGCGAAGATAAGATGAATGTGTTCTTGATGGTGGTGGGAAGCTTGCAGAAACATGTGGTTTTGCAATGGACCCTTATTTGACTGCAAGCCTCCTTATAATATGTACAGCAGATTGTCATGATACTTGGCTCCCCATTCATTCGTTGGTTTAGAAAGTCAAGAAATTATTCGAATAATAATATAGTCAACGAATCTTTAACAATTGTATGTCATATTATCACTGTTCATTTTTAAATTTATCTATATTTGATTTGATCAGTTACATTTTCTTTATTCAAAACTGAACTGGTTTGTTTGGACATGGTGATTTGTTGTTCTGAGAACCTCTAATGTCCTCCGGTCAGGAGTTTTTGCTGTTGGGCATATACAAAATTACCATATGAAAATTAACGGAGTATTTTGATTGGTTATCGATTAGTTGGTTGTTAGTGTCCATGCCGAAATTTTGCTAAATGATTGGTCGATTTTTTTTTTTTCATATCCAGGAATATTTTGCAAAACAAACTGAATAAAATCCCCAAAATCCGAATACATAGTTTTCAAGGACGATCCAATCAAATCCAAAATCATGAAAAGAACACTAGTGTATCAGCCCCCTATAACTCACTTCCTGCCATAGACTCTAACAGCTTGCCTGTTCCTCTTCTTGACACCAGACTTGGCAACCTTGAGGCTCTTGTGAACAAGACTCAACCTTGCGAGGGCTGCTTTTTTCAGATCTGGCCTGTAGTGGTTATCTGCCACCTGCAATGAGGGATACAAAATGAATAACAGAGAAACAACAAAAGGGAAAACCTAGACAAGGCAAATATAGATTCATGCAATCAATACAATACAAATACATTATCATCCTTGAAGGATACCAACATATGCGGGACCAACAATAAAAAAAACTAAACCCTAAAAACACAATGCGTGCAAGCGTAACAAGAACATTTCATCGAAGAAACCATTATAAATAGTGTATCATACATGTTAAGGCTCATCACTGAAATATAAACCTACCAAGTATTTTCTTAAAAAAATAATCATTCAAATCCTTGAGATAAACCAATTTCAGATTTTGACCAGAAAAATAGTGAAGGTTACCTACATATAAGAGATTAACAAGGAGAACCCAATCTAAAGAAGACAATGGATGCTCAGAAGCCAAGCGTAACAAGAGTATTTCACTGAAGAAACCATTACACAAATGATCCTTCTTACATGTTAAAGGCTCATCACTGCAGCACAAACCTACAAACTTCTTAGTAAAATAATCATTCAGATCCTTGAAAAAGCATGAAGCTTACCTACATATAAGAGATTAAAAAAGAGAACCTAATCTAATAAAAAAGACTATTCCTACTCCGCTATACTGAGGGATATGGCTGCTGCTGTGATTTGAAGTGTTTTTTTCGCATCTTGTGTTCTTTGGGTCTTTCTGTGTGTAGCAGTCTCTGTGTAGTTTGGCTGGTGTCTTTGTTTTTTTAGTCTGTTTTTTCTGTTGTTGTTCGTTTGGCTTGTGGATGCCTTATCCACTTGTGTGTTCCTTTTCGTTTCTTTCAATAAATTTCGTTTCTATTAAAAAAAACAAAGAGAACCTAATCTAATAAAAAAAGACAATGCACGCTCAGAAACTAAGTGTAACAAGAGTATTTCACTGAAGAAACCACTACAAAAATGATCCTTTAACTGCAGTAGAAACCTCCAAGTATCTTCTTAGAAAAGTAATCATTCAGATTCTTGAGATAAACCCTATTTCAGATTTTTCCAACAAAAGGCATGAAGCTTACTTACATCTAAGAGATTAACAAAGAGAAACCCATCTAATTAAAAGGACAATAAACGCTCAGAAGCGTAACAAGAATATTTCACTGAAGATATCATTATAAATGATTCTTCTAACATGACATGTTAAGGCTTATCACCAAAGCATAAACCTACAAGTATCTTCTAACATGTTAAGGATCACCAATGCAACAAAAACTTGCAAGCATGTTCTTAGTAAAATAATCATTCGGCAGAGCAAAGCTTCAAACTTTATTTACCTGGTTTGCGACTGCCTTGGCCATCCTGCGAAACTCCTGTTTCATCACAGACTTATGGAGCAAAGCAGCAGGTTTGTTCTGCTTCTTGGTCTTAGTTGTTGCCAACAACACAGATTGATCTTTACCCACAGCCTCAATGGTCACAGTTTTCTTATTTGCCAGCCCTGATCGAAAACCACCTCAATTAAAAAACAAACTCAAACAGAAAGCAAACAAAATGGGATGTAGAGAAATGTACCAGAGTGCTTGTAGGTGTTGAGATTGAGGAGATTGTTGGGCTCCTTGCTGAACCGCACACCGGCGTGGCTTCTCCCGAACTCCTTCACCAGAAAAGAGTTGTTCCTCTTCACTATCTCCCAGATCAGTTGCCCTGGCACCGTCGCCATCTCCCAGATTTTGCTTTTGCTGCTCAGATTGGGGGTTTAGGGTATAGGGGGAGAGGAGATTGGGGGTTTAATATTAACCTTTTATATGTATGCTGAAACCCTAATTCATTTATTCTTTGGACCCGAGGGATATCATTTATTTTCACATATTACGCTTATGTCCTCTGTTGTGTTGTTGACCGGGTTTGTATTGGGCTGATTATAATTGGGTCGGATAAGTCGAGGAATCGTTGAATTATATATTGCATCTGATCACCAATGGGTAAGAGCATTTCCAGCAGCTGACTTCAGCCCGGGTAGGACAGGGCCCAATCCCAGGTCAGAGCTTCCAGTGGGCCAAGCTTGCCAGGGCAAGCTGTGGGTCTCACGTAATCAGGCCAGCCCGCAGGCCAAATCAGCCTGACCTTGAGCCCAAAGGCAGCTGACATCATGACTGACGCCAACGCTCAGGTTTTAAAAAGATTTACCGTTGGCACGTGCGTTAAAAAAAATTTGAATTACCGCGCGCTGACGCCAGGCTGGAGTCAGCCCTGACGTCCACCAACGGTAACACGCCACTGGCGTGTTCTGGTCGCTCCAATCGTTTTTTCCCTCAAACTCAACGGCTGCCCTTTTTTTAGGCTTAAAAAAATGAAAAAAAATTCAATTTTTTTTTTACAAATTACCAAAAAATTATGGAATTTTTATCTATAAATACCTACCAAATCCTCATACATTTTCTTCTCCTTCTATTATTTTTCACTTTCTACACAAAATTTTCTTCACTTTCAATTTTCATTTTTATTCACCATCTTATGGCATCTTCCATCGAAGGCGGAGGGACTTGCACAACCATGGAAGATGTTCTGTTGTGTGAGTCTTGGGTCCAAGTTGGTCATTGTCCGATTATTGGCAATGAGATGAAATTCTGTCATATGTGGAAAAATCTTATCCGAAAATCTTATCTGTGAATTTTATGCGAAAAATTCATTCGAATTATAAGATATGAATTTTATAATAAATATTAACACGTGGGAACTGAAAATCTTCTCCAAATTAATTGTTTAGGTAGGAAAAAAAAAAATTAAAAGTGAATAGTATTTGCCCTTTACCATGACAATAGGTGGAAACACACCTTACACCGGGCCCACCAAAAACACCTCCTTAGGAGGGGACTACTAATCCCATGTGGAAAGGGAGGATTAGCTAGTCCCAATGCTCACCAATGTATAAAATGCATATATTATATTGTAAAATTTATAACATATATTATTATTATTAAACTTACTTACACATATACTATAATGTACATATATACATGTATATACATGTATATATATATATATTATAAAATACACATATATATATATATATATAGTCCTGATCTCTTGGACCACAGGAGTCCAAGAAATTGTGGTCACCTATCGTTGGATATTAATCCAATGGTTCAAAAAAAGTTTCTTAAAAGGAGTGCAAGAATGAGTGAACCGTTGAATTTACATCCAACGGTGAGTGACCACAAATCTCTTGGACCCCTGTGGTCCAAGAGATCAGAATTGTATATATATATATATGTACACATACATGTATATACATGTATATATATATATATTATAAAATACACATATATATATATATATATAGTCCTGATCTCTTGGACCACAGGAGTCCAAGAAATTGTGGTCACCTATCGTTGGATATTAATCCAATGGTTCAAAAAAAGTTTCTTAAAAGGAGTGCAAGAATGAGTGAACCGTTGAATTTACATCCAACGGTGAGTGACCACAAATCTCTTGGACCCCTGTGGTCCAAGAGATCAGAATTGTATATATATATATATGTACACATACATGTATATACATGTATATATATATATATTATAAAATACACATATATATATATATATATAGTCCTGATCTCTTGGACCACAGGAGTCCAAGAAATTGTGGTCACCTATCGTTGGATATTAATCCAATGGTTCAAAAAAAGTTTCTTAAAAGGAGTGCAAGAATGAGTGAACCGTTGAATTTACATCCAACGGTGAGTGACCACAAATCTCTTGGACCCCTGTGGTCCAAGAGATCAGAATTGTATATATATATATATGTTTATATTATTTATAATATACATATATACATGTATATACACATACATGTCACATATATTATAAAATACATATGTACACATACATATATACATATTCATAGATAGTTTTGAAAAATTTATATATATAGTCCTAGTCCAAGCGTACACCAAACGCAGGATAAGTGTTATCCAACTAACCAAGCCAAGCCAAGCCAAGCCAAGATAGTCCCTAAGCATAATCTATGTCAAGACAGTCATGTGTACCAAACGAGCCCTAAAGGAATTTGAATTTGGAACATCATCTAACATTTGAAAAAAAAAAAAAAGCAATTGCGTCAAGAGCTAGTTGATCTACATGTTGCCTCTGTATTGACAAACTGTACATTCATAAATTAAATTCATGACTAATGATTCAAGTTAAGCTCAAGTAGGTCCATATCAAAATAACGGATTGAGATTGGATGATCTGACAAAATAATGAACGTGGTCGGGCAAGTGTCCTCTTCCAAGAAAGGGGACTTCCTTGGCATGATTGACTTCAAAGTGATAAAAATTCGTACTAAAATTTCATGGAAATGTTCATTCTTCTTAATTGGCAAATCACAATTTGACATATATGTAGATATTTTTCTTCGTTTCCTTTTAGTGAGCTATTTTTTGCATAAAACAAGGCCCGAAAGAACAGCTTCCTGTTGCTAGTTTCTTCTTCTAGTTTCCATTCTTCCAGGATATCAAGAAGGTTAGGAGATTCTGTTGGGTTCCAAGAGAGGCCACACAAAATGCTGTAGGTTCCTACTAGGGTTTATGACACATGCGAACTAGCTCTTTAGGGTTTTGATGTTAACTTGAAATTAATATAGACAGTCCAAAATTATCCATGTTGTGGCATGTGGTAGACTTGTAGCGGTAGGTAAGGTAACGTGGTCATGTGATTATTTTCTTATTTTGCAGAACAATATCTCACTTCTTTTTTCGGGAAATGAAACTTGTGGTCTGTAATTGTTTGTAATTCGAAATTCTTGACAATATAAAATCTAAAATCTAGCTTCCAAAATAGATTTCACCTTTTTTCCTGTTAAATAGAGGCCAAAGAGGAGAGGAAAATCGAATTCTAAAGTGGGAAGATAAACTACTCTCAAACCACTCGAGCTACAAATCACTTAAAATATTCATCTGCTACCCTTCATTCGTAAACTAAAAACTCAAACATAGTGTGCCAGCACAGACACACGCGCAGTAGAAATGCAACAAACAGGAAGAAGCAGCCTAAAATGATTCACAAAGGCACACAAGAAAGCTGCAACAGTACAGTTCCGAAGAATTCGACTTTGTCACATACATCACACAAACACAAAACAAGATTAAGTAGCAGAAGAAAGTGCAATGCATCGATTTTAAGCAAAAATTAAAATTTGATTGTCTTAGGAATGAACTGTTAAGCACGTCCAACAACAGAAGCAAGCTGGGAAATAAAGTTGTTGTCCCACCTGATGAACCTGAATTCATAAATTAAATAACCAAATATCAGGTCATCAAATACCTAATGCTATTACACCTCAACTAATGTTACATTATATACAGAGAAAAAAGCAGAGCCTCCATTGACTGACTGCTCCTACAACAACGCAGTATCACGGAATTGTACAGATGGATTCAGCCTTAAAGGGCAGCAGAGTTAATGGTGCTGCAAACTTAACATGGCCAAATAAATGAGAAGCAGCAACTAGGCTGCAGAATTGAACCAAAACCCCTGAATAAAGAACTACATTCACAGGAAGAATCCATCCACTGCAACATTTCTTTCCCCAAGAGAAACTTATTCAAGTGTCACTTGATTTTAAAACCCGATGTGTTGGTCGGGCCAAACCATTCACTGCTTCATTTATCCTACTAAACACTAATTTAAGGGGGATACAAGCTATTACAGGACCCTGTGGCTTCGCAGCCAGTGGTTTCGTCACTTCAGATTGCTTGTGACCGGTCAGTGAAGATAGTTTCCGAGTCTTTTTTGGCTGCAGCCCAGATTTCTTTGTTTTGGGAGATTTATTTGGTGAATTTTGAGGTTGCAATGCCAAATGCTTGCCTGGATTTCTTCCAATTTCTGCTTTTGGCTGAATTGCATAACCTATTTTACCAACTTCCCGATCGCATTCCAGTTTGCTCAACATGATGTCACAACAGCCATCACCCAAAGCCTCAACTGTTAACGGGTGACCAACAATGGCTTTACCATTCAATTTACTCATAAGGGAAACCAGCGGGACATGCTGCGGCCGGTAATTTGATTTCACCTCAAGTTTGACATCATATAACGAACCATCAGAGCAAACATTGCGGGCAGTAGAATCTGACGTCTGATATCTTGCAGGCACTGTGAAGCGGGACTGCCGATAGGGAAGTGACCTTTGAATTGGTCCATCAGCCAATTCAGTAACCTGTTTGGACTTTGCTTGTAATGTGCAATTATATGCACCGGAACCACTAATGCCTTTGCAATTGACTTTCTGGTCAGAATCCTGAGACAATCCATCAGAATGCTCAATGCCGGCCGAATAAGCATTGGATTCTTCATCCACGTCCATATACCTTCTTGAGTCATGTTTTCTATCTTTACTTGTTTGTCTTGAATTCCTCTTTCCTTTTGACTGCCACTTTGAACTACCTTTTTCTATACTTTGGCCGATATCATGCAAGGCTGCTGAACTCGTAGAACCGGATTCATTAATTCTCTCATCTCTCAAAGATACAGCTTCAGCTTGACTGCTTTGACTAGATTGCCTTCCCAATGCACCAATTTGAGGCTTCCCCGATGAACAAACTGCAATTATAGGAGAATAACCTGGTAGATAGAGATGACAAATCAGCTAGGGAGAACCAGACCAATTTTTGTCAGGTCCACATCAGGCACAAAAGAAAGACAAGCTAATTAATTTGCTGCAATTAGCAAGGAAAGGATAAAGAAAAAGGAGAGGGTGACAGAGTTGCAGGAGCACCTAAATGTAAAATGCAGGGAAATTTGAATACTGCAAGACATAATTAATAGCAA